AAGAGGAACGGAAGGAGAGAGGGTAATGGAAAGAGAGAACAAGAATCAGAGAGAGGTGGACGAAGATGGAGTGAGGGAGACAGGCCAGAGAACAGGCTGGACAGCTGTCAGGGCCCCCTCCTCCCCTCTCTGTACCCCTATGTCTTTTGCTCTTCTCTGTACCCCAAACTGGTGCTTCCCCCCAGGAGCTCCTGCCTCCCCCAGGGGCCTGGGGGCACAGTGCTTTGCATAAGCAGGAGTGCTTGCTTCAAGGGGAGGGCGCCCAAGCCAGAAAGTTCTAAAGTCCTAAAGCTGGAGAGAAAACTGAGGCTTGCCTGAGAAGGCTGGAAGCAGGAGAAGAGGGAGTTATGAACGTGAAGTAAAAAGGAAAGACAGCTTTAGGCACAACGTTGTCGGTAACAGTGAGAAGCAGCTACAGACTAGCAAATGCCTGGATGCTTGTTTTCACCAAATCTAGCTTCAAAAAGTATTTTCCACTAATGTTATCATGAAAACCTAGATATTAAACCAAATAGCTCTCTATTTAATGAAGAAGGTGCTACACTTGGACACAGAATTGTCTAGATCAGTGCTACTCAGAGTGTGGTGTGAGGACCAGCAGCATCTGCATTACCCGGGAGCTCGTTAGACACAGATTCAGCCCAAAGTCAGCAGTCGCTTCAGAGCAGCACCCAGGAATCTGTGTTTTAAAAACTCTGAGGGGATTTTCATGCTCGCTCAAGTTCGAGAAGCACTGGAGTTGACGGGGCTACATCTACTTGGATGGGAGGCACAGACCGCCAGAGTCTGTGGCGTCCTAGGTGGTCCAACCCTAATTTACCACTGGCAAGTATCATGGGATGGGAAGATAAGTCATGGGGAATATGGACCTATTTTAGAAGGTTCAGGGGTACAGAGGAATATCCCTTTTACCTTCCAGGTCATCAATGGTTTTCTCCAACTTTGCCACCGACCTTTCGGCAAACTCTGCTCGGGTCTCAGCCTGGGCATAAAGGCAAGATGGGGAAAATGACAAGAGCTTAGGCCCTCCCAGACGCTATCAACTTCCTCTTCCGTCCCTGTCCCCAAATCCCCTGCCACAGGAGGTCTCTGGCGGGTACTGGGGGGCTTGAGGGGGATTTGGACTGGAAGGACTCTCACCTCCTTTAGCTTCTCCTCCAGCAGTTTGATCTCCTCTTCATACTTATCTTCTTTGGTGGAATACTTTTAGGGACAGACACATGCCATCAGTTCGTCGCCTCCACAAGTCCTTCATTTCTCCACGGAGCCCCACAGGCTACTGCTGATTTTGTCTCCATCAAACATCCGGCCCTGCCCTGCCTGGGCCCATCGCCTCCCTCCCCTGAAGGACCCCCTCCTCACTGCCCCTCTACCCCCCTCTACCTTGTCCGCTTGGGCTTCCAGGGATTTCAAGTTGTTGGTAACAATTTTCAGCTCCTCCTCTAGGTCCCCACATTTACTGCAGGGGGGTGTGTGGCAGGGTGGGGTGTGAGGGCACAGTGGGGGAGACAGCGGAGATGGCACAGTGGGGGAGGGGTGGAGGAGAGAAGAGAAGAGCAAAGTTGTGAGAGTGACAGCAGGCAGGCCCTTCCCGGCCCCCAGCAGGTGAGAGAGAGCAGCCTGAGATGGAGGGGAAGGTGAGCCTAGAGAAGGTGCCATTGCCCAGAAAGGTCCAGAGAGGTGACTACCTCCTCCTCTGAGGCCGTCAGGGACTTGAGGGCCTGGTCCATGGTTCGCAGTTCCTCCTCCAGCTGCCTGGCTCGGCTGGGGGCAGCAGGTAGGGGTCAGAGGCAGGACCTGTCCCTGTGTTCCCATGCCTGGGAAACTGCCTCCCCACTGTGCAGAGTGCCCCAGAGCCATGGGCTCAAGCCGAGTTTCACTTGCTGCCCTGTGGTGTCCTTACCTCTCAGCTACCTCAGCTCTCTCTTCTGAGCGCTCCAGCTCTCCTTCCAGGATCACTAGCTTCCTGGCCACCTGTGGGGATGGGCAAGAGAGGGGGAGGAGATCCACGGTGAATGACTGGGGGTGTCTGGGACTTGGGAGTGAGAAGAAAGTGGGGCAGGGCTGTCACCTCCTCATATTTGCGGTCTGAATCCTCAGCGATGTGCTTGGCCTCCTTCAGCTGCATCTCCTGCAGCTCCATCTTTTCCTCATCCTTCATAGCTCGGTTTTCGATGACCTTCATTCCTCTGAGAGGCAGGGAGAGGGGTAGGGGTCGGGTTAGGACCAGCAGAGACAGGCTCCCAGCCCCCTCCCCGGCCCACCCTCTGAGGACCCCCCCTGCCCACCTCTCACTCTCATCAGCTGCCTTCTCAGCCTCCTCCAGCTTTTGCAGGGCTGTAGCCAGGCGCTCCTGCGCCCGGTCCAACTCCTCCTCTACCAGCTGAATGCGGCGGTTCAGGGAGGCCACATCTGCCTCGGCCTGTGAGTCAAAGGTCAGA